ATGAATTGCAACTTTAATACATTACTTAAGAAGGAAAAAGATTTGTGAAAATACAAACTGGGAAAAATAAAATTATAAATAAATAAGAAAAGTATTTTGATGGTATTTACCTTCAATTCATTCAGCTAAACTATGATTACATATGAAACTCAAATATAAATCATCACATTACAATAAAAACACAATATTTAGATTAATCTCTACATATAATAAAAGAACGAGTCTGTCTGTGGGCTATGAAATTTGGTACATAGGTGCATCTAGCCAAGATCCAGTGCACCTCGAAGCGATTTTTTAAAAATTGAAATCGGATTTTTTTTTATTATATCTTTTTTGATGAAATTGCTTCATTTTGAATAGTTTCATTCTTTTAGAAATGTTCTTTTGGCTACAGTTTTTCATTCAATGCTTTGAATACTGGACTGCTGACTGTTTAAAATCAGCACTGTTGCCACTTGGAAAAATGAGAGCAAGAATTCTGGTCAGTTTTTAAATTTAATGTTTCTCCTGGATACTGGATGTTTGTTGAGAAAAGGCAATGGGAAGTTGGTTAATTTATTTGTTAGGATAATTAATATTTGTATTAAGGGATATTGCTTATTTCATTGTAATTTTTTTATATGTAATACATTTTTATTGAATTTTTTGGGGGGGAGGGGGGAATAAAGTTGTTCTGCAGAGTAAAATTCTGTTCAGTTTTTAAATTTAATGTTTGGTGTTCCCTTTAGGCATTTTCCCGGCACATTTAAAAGCCAGATAAACGCTGCCCGCATAGCGGCTAATATTTTTATAAATTAAAGAAAGAACCAATTACATTCAGAAGTTAGCCATAACTGGTACAATAGAATCAGACAAAAAATAAAACATGTAATGATCTTGTAACATGTATCACATATTTATTGAATACAAAATTGACTGAAGTGAAAATTAATTACAATAAAAACTAAAAAATTAAAAGCAATACATTAACAATCAAAATTTAAATTTTTGAAAGAACGAAATATCCATTTATAAATTTATCATAACATGTAAACCAATCTCATGTACAAAATGACATGATTATGGATAGCAAAATATTTTCTTTCACAAAAGATTCACTATTTTATGAATCAAATGCGTATTTCACAATATGCATTTGATTACGCTGCAAGTGTAAAACTTCTGAGAAAAGGCTTTTCAAATAAACATTATTTCTGATCAAAATACCTTTTTTCATGGTTTGGTTTTGCACTTGATTTGCTTATGCTATCTGAATTTAAATGATATTGTAGATTGGTTCGCAAATTAAAATTAAAAATTAAATCTTTTATTTGTTTGCACATTTTTTTAATTATTTTAACTTTTTTTACGTATTTACATGTTTGTTAAAATTTAAATTTCCTTCTTTGCAGCAATGGCACAAAGAACTAATTAAATTTGTATTTAAATTCATTTATTCTTTTGAAACTATTTTATACTAAAATTACTTTTTTATCACATATCCAAAGTTTGCCCTCATCATTACAGTTTATGAATACTGAAATTATAAATTTATCAGAAAAGAATATAAATTCTATTACTTCAGAAAGGATAGTAATTTATAATGTTGGTTTATAATACAGCTTCTGATAGTATAAGTTCATGATTGGAAGCCGTAAAGTGTCCAAAGTATTGTTTCTAAATGAAATAAAGGAGTTAATTATATAATTTTTTGAGAAGAAAAATGAATACAGAATTCATACATTAATGTTACAAAGTGTAATTATATTAGAAAAATAAAATGAATCCATTAAAACCCATTACTTAACATAATTATAAGCAATAGTACATGATATTCAGCTATTCTGTTAAATACTTATACCATGGACATTTTCATTTATTCATGTCTTAAATACATTTGTTAATTAATATATATACAAAAACATAAATTTCTCAGTAACTGGCATAAGAGATTCGTACAGTTGAAAATTAGAAGAAAGGAATGCAATTTGAATGCAAGAGCCTGTAACTATTCTTCTTTAGAATAAAAACTTATTCTGTGGACAGGAGGAATGGAAGGAAATCAAAACACATTAATGAGTACTTAAACTTAATAATCCATAATAACTAACAGCACATCCACATATATAACACTGTAATTCCAGTTTAATCACATAAACATTCATTCTAACAGTACTTTTATTACAGCAATAACTTAAAAGCGAAATAATTTTATGACCATGAGAATATTAGAAATGTACTTCATGAAAAAATATATTATCAAATTTATTCTTAGAAATTAAAACTTATTACATTTTATTGTTCTGTGTAACACATGAGAATGGTTCAAGCACATGAAAATAACACAATAATTAGTTTAGAACACCTAATATTGAAGATTAATTAATCATATTTAAATTAAGTGCATCTTACAGTCATAAATGTTACAGATAAAGTTGTAGTTACTTTTAACTGTTAGCAACATTAAATTTTTAATATTTTGAAAACATGTAATGATGAATTATTTAAAACATTACAATGAATAAATGATAACTAACTGTAATATATTTTGGATGCAAATATATAATATTTTTGCACAAGTGAAGTTAAATGTAAAGCAGAACAATTTTAGAACAAAATGCAGCTGTACAAGGTTATATTATAAAAGAAATGAACAAACTTTATATAATTTTACATAAACACGATTTATTAAGCAAAAAATTAAATAAAGTTCACGAACACATCCTAATGGCATGAACATTTGGAGGCATATGTTATACCTCATTTTTAAATGACACAGATCAATTATAATCATATAGTTTATCAACATGATTCCTTACAATCCATGGCCATTTCAGATAATAATCAAAATTCTAAACAAGGAAATAACTTCAAATAAACTTCTACAATGAAGAGCTTACATAGCTGGCTATGATATTTTTTTAGTAACTTTATCTGGATGTACCCTAAAAATTTTACTAGCATTAATTTTTCTTTAAAAGAGGGGAATGAATGAATTATAAGTCAACATCATTACACCTTTAGCCACTATTTCAATATTTTTAACACAACATGATATAATGGAATTTAAAAAAAAAAAAAAAAAAAAAAAAAAAAAAAAAAAAAAAAAAGCTGTATTTTAAAACAGCATATCAGATTACAATGTGCACTTTTAAGGAAATTTCGATCACTGCATTCTAAAATTGTAAATATTTCTAATATATATTCTGCACTGAATTTGCATTGAGTGTTTATCTTCACTAGAATATGTTAACACCATTTGTGGCTTTTTAAAATTCTTACATCATTTATATGTAGTAACATGAAGGGAAAAGTAAATTTTTTAATAATACCATATTTTATATTCTTTAGTTATAAATAATCAATAGGTTAGCATTTTTAACCTTTCCTTTCTTTTTAAATCTTTGTTGAACTCTTAAAACAATTTACATATCTCGGAACTCCTAAAACAGTTATCACATTTAAATTATACATGATTAATTTTACTATTTCGAGATAAACTTTGAACAGTTTCTCGCACAACACAAGGGTTCTGCGGAGCTGACTGAAAAAATTCTGCATTAGACAATGATATACATCAATATCTGAAATGTTTCCCCTATTTTTGCATCATAAAGTTAATATTAAATTGTCAAATTTTAAGATTTTTTTTTAAGCAACCAAAATTAACTACGTATTGCAATTCAAATACAATGAGCATTCATCTAATTTTCTTCAGATAAGATAATTAGAACTCCCCTACTTTGTAACAAATTAATTAACAACCAGAAATTTTTACTCTCCATAAATGCAATGCAATAAATACAATATGCCAAAATATAAAGAGGATATAAAGAAAAAAAATATCATTCACTTTGACATTAAAATTATCTAATCCTAATCTTTCTATTTGCCTTATTACATTATGCTACACAACAATCACATTAATTATCTAACCTGCCTAGCAAATTGCCAATTCTAGTAACATAAGGCTTTTAATTTGTCTTCCAAATACAGCATATGGTATTTACCTGTGCAATAAACTGAACAATTTAAGGGGAAAAAATTATTTTTAATTACTATTATCTTCACTTTTTGAATAACGTAGCCAATTCATTATTTTCAGAAGCATTAACACAAACAGTACAGTTCATAAAAGATGTTTATAATGCCATACCTTACTTTCTTCTGCTAAGAATAATTACATGCTTGCCTCTTAATAATAAGTGTATTACATTCTTTTAAATGATTCTAATTATAAGAAAGAAGAATTTGTAGAAATTTTATATACCATATTTTGTTTTCTTTTCTTTCTTCCCCCCCCCTCCTGGTAGCAAAAGAGGCAAACTCACAGAAAATTAAAAATATTAATTAAGCTCATGCAATTCATATAAATTAAATATCAGATACAGACAGTTTAAGGCTTAATAAGAACTATTCTAATTCTGAATAAGACAGCCATTCTGTTTATCACTTGCACGCAAGATTATTTCTTGCAACGTTGTCTAACGTTTCTCCTTTCTTCAGAATGTGGTTAAAAAACATGAGAATGCACATTTTTTCCCAACACCATATTTATTACTGTTATATATTTGATAATAAAGTACTAAATGACTCTATTGATCACAATCTATATTCTTAGCAAACAACTTACTTAACAAGTAACCATGAATCTTCCCCAATCTTAAACTGTTTGTATTGAATGTAAAAGAAAATTAATCATTAATTATTCTTCATAAGTTCAGATTTTCTGAGCTCTACAGGAAAGGCCAAAAGAAAACTGCAAACTGAGACATTCAGGAAGACTAAGCCAATTGCTTGCCACTGTGTTCATCACCCGAACCATTGACAACCAAGAAAGAATCCCATGATTACACTTTTATGGGCTTTCTTTCCCCAATTTCAAAATCAAACTAAAATTCCATTCTCAAATAAAATTTTTCTCTCTGTTTTTAGCATAAGCTATCCAAACCTTGAATCTAACCACAGCTATACCTACTCTCTGTATATAAGCTTGACCGTAATACATACTGAAAATGCAATTTTTTTTTTTTTTTTTTTTTTTTAAGCTCTAAGCCATAAAGTGTAAAACTGCAGAATTTCAAGTTGACTGGCAGTAAGCAGTGGTCCCAGATTACCTACATTACATCACTTGTGTGTGTATATGAGCACCTGTCCATTAAAAACAATATATCAACACAACAAATGTATACAACACTAAATAGCCAACACATATTTGTTTCCAAATAAATATGCACTAAGTTATAAAAATTACTGACATTTTCAACAATAAAACCTTTGGTTTTGAAGAACATTGCACAATTTAAATTACAGTATTTTTCAGTGTAGGTATATTAGACATGTATAAATTAATCATATAGGATAGAAATATTTGTTCGCAATAAAAACATACTAAAACGATTTTTTGCACACATCTGAAGATCAGATACAGTATAAAAACTCACATTAAATACATACAGAAACACTGATCTTAACTAGAAAAGGAAAACATAAATAGTTTAAAATTTCCTTTTTTTTTATCAAATAAGTAAAAGTTAAATTTATATTTTGAAATGAATACTAATTTTAACAAACAGAGAAAAAAAATAAATACTACAAAATTTTCTTTTTATCTTTTGGAAAAAATATAAGTTTATATTTTGTAAATTACAATTTGTTAAATTGTATTCATTTCACATGACAAGAAATAAAAGTTATCTTACTTAATTTTTTCCCCTTTCTAGTAAGAAAATAAAAGCAAGGTATTTTTTAAATAGGAGCAAATTCATTATGACATATTTACATGAGAAAAATGCCATATAATATATAAATGCTTCAAAGGAAAAATTTCAGATCAATAAAATATTTGTTCATTGAAAATACATACAAAATTGACAGAACATGAATTAAAATTCAAAGAGACTAGATATTTTAATTAATGCTTTGTAACAAACTGAAATTATATATTTAATACAAATTAGTATAAAGTAAGACTTGATACATAAAAATGTATCAGTTCAATGGCTTGAGTGTCAGAGAATTTCTCACAACATTTCTATTCAGCCATTGATGACTAGTTTGAAATATGTGAGGCACACATTTGGTTTTTAACCTCCAAAACACCAATGCAGCAGCCAAAATGACAGGGGGGAAACACAAGAAGAAGGCAACTAATGCAAAGCAAGCACCAGTGGTTGAATAGTGTTAGTGCATGCACACTGTATTAGTCCATTTCATTAACTATTACTGATATGCATGTTTTAGTATTATGGCTTTTGGTTTATTTTTATCAATCCCTTCACTTCATACAACTTTTAAAACTCTGGAATACTGCATGACTGGACTTTTTTAACACTATTTTAAATGTGGTACTCTTTGGTGAATACGCTCCCTCTCTCTTTTTGTATTCAACCACTGGTGAGACCAGAAGCCTGGAGTGCTGCATGTGATGCTTTCACGTTTGAAAAGTGCCAAGTGCATAACTGCAGGCAACTAGTGCATTCATTGTTGCAGTCCTCCGTTGTAAGCATAGTCTGCTTTATTGTGCATTATTAGCTTGTCATCCACAAAATAGAAACTGTCTGACCGTGTCTCAAAGGGATTTGCAATCATGTCCTCACCTGAAGAAAGAGAGAGAAAAAAAGGTAATAAGAGGTTTTGAATAAAAAATGAATATTGTTTAACAATATCGATCTAGCTGAAATTAATTACAAGAAACATGTATATAAAAAAATAAACAAAATCATAGAAGCAATAATGGTTTTAATCACACAAATCATGTCCAAATCAAATAAACCCATAAAAAAATCAAGAATGGGAGAAATGATATGCAGTTATGGATGCTGGGTTTTACTGGCAAAATAATACTTTTCAATTCATTGCAGACATTTATATTTCCAAACCTCAACCACCAACTGCTGGTAAATCTAAATATACTTGAAACACCATGTGTTCATCAAACATTTTTTATCGTACTTGGTTTCCTGGAGATGTTTGTAAATATTTGACTTGCCTGGAATTCCAAAAAGGATGCAATTCAATGGTGTTAATATTTACATTTTTAAAAATTTGCATAAATATCATCCAGTAAATGTTGCTTCTACATTAGTGGGCATAATTCTGAGATGAAAAAGATTTTCCCACATTTCTCTTAAAATACCACGCAAGACCTGGATAACTGGCTGCCATATAATATTACTGTGGCAGTGGTTTCACTGAGATGAGTTTATGAATTTCTGTGGGCTTTGCTACGCCAGCAGGAGGTATAAGAGTTTGTGTCCAGCTGCTTAGCTCATTCCGCTCTGCAACACAGTAGTGATTATTATTGTTTCTCTTGAATAATCTTGCTGTTTTTTTTAGGTCAAATGAGTGCACATCATTGCTTAGATGAAGGTATGACATGGAGAATTGTGGGAAGGCTTAAGGCAGGGCAATCCCAAGCTCAGGTTGCAAGAGAACTGGATGTAATACCAAGTGTCATCTCTAATTTGTGGAATCAGTTTAAAAACAATGGGAGAGTGTCCAGAAGACCAGGATGCCCGAGAGCTAGAAAGACAAATGACGACCAGTATTTGGTACTTTCAGCCAAGCACAAAAGTATGTCTAAAGCCACACAACTGTCTTGTGACCTCACTACTGCCACAGGAACAGTTTCAAGAAAGACAGTTGCCAGAAGGCTCCCTGAGCCAGGATCATACACCAGAAAGCCTGCTATTTGCATCCTACTTCTTCCCCCCACCAGAGAGAGCGCTTACAATGGTGCACACAACACCAACACTGACAGCTTCAATGGGGTAATGTTTTCTTCACAGGTGAGTCTGCATTCAGTCTACAACCCAATTCTCAGTGATTACTGGTATGGAGGGAGCCTGGGACTCGGTACCATTCTACCAACATCATGGAAAGGGATCAATTTGAAGGTGGACGAGTGATAGTATGGGCAGGGATCAGGCACGATACCTGCACACTGCTCTGGTTTGACACTGGTTCCACAAATGCCCAGAGGTACAGGCAGGAGATCCTAAAGCCCTATGTGCATCTTCTCAGGGATGCTGTTGTCCCCGAGTTCATTTTTATGGACTACATTGCAGGACCACATAGGGCCCACCTAGTTGATAATTATCTGGAAAGGGAGAATACTCATCAAATGGAATGGCCAGGCAATTCTCCTGATCTTTAGCCTACTGAACATGCTGGTAATGCTCTTGGGATGGCTACTGCAATATGCCACCCCCACCTAGAACCATTCAGGAGTTACAAACTGCTCCTGATTGAGGAGTGGGTGTGACTTCCACATGCATTCCTGAACTCTCTTGTTAACAGCATGGCTACTCGTTGTACTTGCTGTCTGTCTGTCAAGGGGGATCACACATCATACTAGCCACATGTTCACTACCATCTTTCATTATCAAGACTGAACCACATTCGACTTTTGGACATAACTCATGCTAATGAATGGCATTTTCATTGTTGTTTTGTACACATTACTGCCATACATTAAACTATATCCATACGTAATTTCATTTATTTCTATCTAGTATTTCTCGAGATATTTGGGGAAAAGTGTTCCATATCTTAATTTTATCCACCAGTGTATTTTGATGATAAAGGAAAAATTTAATAATTAATTATAAACTGAAATTAATTTTAAAAATATTAAATTTTCTGTACCATAACCATCATTTAGTTGTTATTTGAACCACTCAAATATGATACTAATTGTGAGCAAACTATAATTTCCTTAACATGCCAAAGCTGCCGACCTTGAAATCTTAAAAACTAGGAGAATGTTGGGAAGAACTGGGAGGTTTTCCTGCACTGCAATGAAATTATTTAAAGGAACTCCAAACTGAATTTAATTTAATTTATATGAACTATTTGTAATTCAGTCCTGATGCAAAATATATTAATATTTAACTGAATATTCTAAAATTTTATGTTCTTTGGCTAATTTTATTTTTTAATTTTTAAATTTTATTTTTACCATTTAATTTTTCAATTTCATATTAAGAAAATTCTGCTTATCAATGGAAAGCTTTTACGTATAAAAGAACTTTTGAATGCCATACAAATAAAATTAATAATCATCGTACATAGTATTTGTATGGATACACTTGGTAATACATCTTAAACAACAAAATTAAAATTAAATATAAACCCTAACTGATTAAATATTGCTTGAATCTATATTCAAAAATCTATATATGTCTACAAGAGATTAAGACAACTCAGATCAAATAAAATTTAATAAAATAAAGATCAATAAAATGTAATAAAAAATACAAATTAGATGAAATAAAATTTATTAAAAAGTTTTTTTAGAGACTCGGAATGGAATTCGCCTAATTTAAGTTGAATTAATTCAGTAAATTTCATTTATTGCAGGAAAACATTTTCCTCGGTAAAGGCTAAAAATTAAAAACTGGAAGATACAGTGATTTGCTACGAGACCGGGAAATATGGTGAAAAACTGGGAGTCTTCTGGTAAAACTGGAAGAGCTGATAGCGATGACATATCAGAAATTACATTTTAGAGATCGCCCTGGGAATATTAATGATTTGTACTGCCTCATTTTACACCTAAAACTTAAGACTTGGATCATACCTATTAACTAAAAAACAGAAGTAATATTTTACTTTTACGAAATGTGCATTTCATTTATATACCCAACAAACAAAAAATAAAATAAATTTATACCAAAAGCAAAATTTTAAAAAAGCAAAACAGTGAATACTTACAAATATCGGGATCTAGAACAGGGAATTCATAAATATGTTCACAAGTGTTCTTGCTGTTGGGGATACAGAAGCCAAATTCAAAATCAAACGTTTTCAGCAGCTTCTCTCGAAAGTAATGACGCTCTATCATCCTAAACTTATTAACAGGCTTATCACCAACGGTGAATTCAACACTACAAATGAAAAATATTGATAAGCATTTGTTATGAAAATACAAATTTTGAAAAAATTCAAATAATTTAAGAGAATTACAATGTACTAGGAATAAGGCCTGTTACATAAAAGAGGAAAAAATATGGCTTTAAAATAGATTTCCTTTCATTTTTGCTTGATGTTTATCATAGCATAATGCAACAGTGTGGGGGCGGACAGGACTATGTTCTCAGAGCCAGATTTAGACTTTGATAAGATCCTAAGCTATTTGAGACATGGGGCCGCTTATAAGTCTTTTATAATATATTTTAATACTATTTATACTATAGTTTAATTTGGGAGGGGGCAAGCTATAGCTTGTGTAGCTTATACGTAAATCTGGCCCTATATGTTCTGGAATGTTTTTACCATCTACAAACTTCATCAAAATCTGTTCATTAAAAACATTCTTTTTTCAGTATGAGAAATTATGATTATTTTTTATAACTGTAATTATTTTGTCAGAAGGTATTGAATAAATACTGTTGAACAAAAAGAATATCTTTAAATCTGATCCACATCAAATGACATAAGATACCTAGGAACTGAATTACACAGAAGTCAAAAGTCATTCTGAAGTACTATTCAATCATATCCCAAACATATAGCAGTAAGAACAAAAATTCTTTATAAATAGATTTTGTACAAACTCATTGAGTATTACAAGGTTTACCATCTAACAAGGTTTTCTCTTCTGAAACAGGACTAAACAGAAAAAACTCTGTAGTGCATTATGAATACCAGCAAAAAGGTACATACGCTATAGGTACTTATGCATTATCGCAACCAACTTAGAAGAAGTTGTCAAATGTTCGGAATGTGACAAACTCTGGCAAGATGCACAAACATTCTTCAGCTAATCATGCTCATAACAATCCAACAACCAAGTAACATCACAATTTTTTAAATGCATGCTTTTTGCTATATTCTGAGTTCCAGTGCTTTTCATAGACATTTTTTGCCTTTCGTTTAATCTTAAAATATCACATGCAGGGTTTGCCAGTGGCAGAAAAAAATTGCATTAAAACTTACGTAGGAATATAATATTTTTGCCACATAATCGCTAAAGGGAACAATGACGAGGTGAGTTGGATAGTTAGTCGGTATGCAATATCGAGTTTGTGGAATCTTCCGATTTTTTTTAAGTGAAAAGAGGTCATTGTATACATGGAGAGAAGAATAGTGGTAAAAAATTAGAGAAGGATTTCATGGAAACTGTGTTCCCTTTTTTAATATATCATATAACCATTATTTAATAATTAAAACTCGTATTTTAAAATGGTTTTCATCTTTTGATATGCTGATAATATTTGCTGACTTCTGAAAAATATCAATAGTTTGGGCATTTAAAAAAAAAAAGTCATAAAAATAATGAATTTGCACCCAAAAGTAATTTTCACCTTTTCATCTGTAAAAGGCTGCCAAATTATGCCAAGATGATTGCATTAATACATAGGTACTACTATACTGATGAATGCCTATGGGTTTGTAATAGATTGAATACACACAGCTCTGACAGGTTGATAAAATTTATTTTATGAAAAGAAACACTTCAGAGTTCTGGAATTTTTCACAAAAATAGATATACAACTCTTCACAATATGACAGAGAACAATCAGTAGTTACACTTCAAACTACTAAGAAGATAGCTCAACATTATATACACTATAGCAACTACATAGTATGGCCATAGTAAGGAGTTAGTCTATCGTAATGAATAACTAATTTGATGACTTATGACATTGTTCAGCCTGTTTAGGACCGTGTAAGTACCATCCCAACGTGACTTTAGTTTAGGAGAGAGTCCTTTCTGTCGAATTGGATTCTACAACCACACTTTATTACCTTCATTGATTTAATGTCCTGTAGCTCTTGTGTCACATCAGGTCTTCCTCTTGTCCATCACCAAGATGACTCTCTCTCGTGCAAAATTCTGCATCACCGTGCCTGGAGATCTTGGATGCATTACTCAGGTGATGAAGATGCATCCCAAGCGCAAGCAAACATGAGATCACAAGGCAGATGAAGAGAGGTTTCAAAGAGCATCTGGGATGGGGAATAGCCAGTAGTCTCATGGACAGCACTGTGATAGGCCAGAAACCACCAATGAGAGGTTATTAAGGATAGTTTGATTAAACCTCTCTACCACGACGTCTAACTGGGAAAGCAAAAGGTGTCATTTGGTTTCTGTAGATGCTGAGTAGCTTGGAGAGTTCTTTAACTATAGTTGAGGTACAATTGCTTCCTTAATTGGAATTCATTCATTTCATTCCTATTACTACCTCTTATCGTGACAGCCTCTTGATAAAGAATAGGATATGCTTCAGGCCACTTGGGGAAGTAATCAATGACAGAGATAATGCATTTGTTGCCATCAGCAGTTTGTGGCAGAGGTCCCAGGATGTCAAAGGCAATGCATTCAAAAAGGTGCTCCTACACTGTAAAGTTATAGTTTCCCACAGCTGTGTTTCTTTGGTCCTTTTTGACTTGCACAAGCACCGCATGATTGGCACCACTTTTGGACATCAGCCTTTGCATTACTCCAGTAGAAGTGCTCTTGAACTACTTCAGAATAATGCAGTCTTCATTATTCTGAAGTGGCCTCCTGTAGGGCTGCTATGTAGTTCTTTAAGGACATTCCGGATCTTGGAAGTATCAGCTGCCATTGGAATCCCTTTCCATCTTCTAATTCAAACTTCTGGTACAACACGCCGCTGTTTCAAATATAGAGCGAGTCCCAAAGAACACAATATTGTTTTGTCATAGGACTACAGATCGAAATGTCCTGCCACGTAGGCTTCCTATTTAAAGATTGCATTAAGTCAATTATGGGTTTAATGTCACCGTATTTCAAGTGGTCTTTCCTGACTTCTTCATCAATCCATGGGTCTGAGTCAGACAATGTTGAATTCGTAATTTGACATGCAACTGGATTAAGTAGCTCGTATTTTGCTTCAACACTGAAACTATACTGGCAGCTTTCTGGGCTTGGTCTTCTAGACAGGGTATCGGTGTTTCCATGCGATGATCTTTTCCAATGACAGATAATGACATCACATTCCTGGAATCTCTGTATCCATCTGGCTATTTCACCTTCATGATTCTTGAAGTTTAAAAATCAGGTCAACGATGCATGATCTCTGTACGAGAGGAGTTTTCTGCCTCAGAGTAATGGTAGAAATGTTCTACAACCTTAACTATGATAAGCAACACTTTCCTTTTTTGCTCTAGGGTACTAAAACACGTTCTTGACCATTTATTTCTTGGGACAAAACAGCACCGACACTCTCATTGCTCGCATCTATGTTGACAACAAATGGGTTGTCGAGCTTAGGATACGTTAGGATTGGAGCAGATGTTAAAGCTTCCTTCAGTTTGCTAAATGCATCCCCCATATTCTTTTGTCCACAAGAATTCCTGCTTGCTGTCTGTCAGCTTATGAAGGGCTCTAGGGATGGAAGAAAAGTACTTCACAAATCTCCTATAGTAGGTGCAAATCTAAAGGAAACTTCTCAGCTGATGGACCATTTTTTAAGTGTCCCTGTTTTTAACTGCTGATACTTTTTCTGGATCCGTAATTACACCTTCACTCAGATGACATGACACTGTCTGGATAGTTTACATTTATCAAGACTCAACTTAAAATATGATTCTTTGAGTTTCAGCCCATTCTACAATTTTCTAAAATGTGTAAAAGTTTTCCCGATGATGATGATGATGTCATCAAAGTATATCGGACAATCTTTGTAGGAAAGACCTCTGAACATTGTCCTCATGAGGCACTCAAAGACTGCTGGTGCATTACATAATCGATATGGCATCCCTTTGAGCTGCAAAAGTCCTTGTCTGATAGTAAATGCTGTCTTTTTCTGGTTCATCAGGGTGTATCTCTACTCTGCCTACTCTTCAAATCAAGCATCAAAAACCACTTGCTTCCAGGAAAAGTGTCCAGAATATTGTCAATTCAAGGAAGATGATACATGTCTTTCTTCATAATCTCGTTCAACCATTGATAATCAAAGCAAAATTTAGTTCAACCTACTTTCTTTCTGACCAGGACAATGGGAGAGACTCAAGGCTCAATAAAATCATTTTTTGCACTTTCTGGCATGTCCTTTAGAAGTTTTTGTACTTTTCCCTGTTTAGCTATCGGTAAAGGCATTGGATGTTGCTAGATTGTGTTAGGGTCACCAAAGACACAGAGACTAGTGAACTATTGGATTGTTTAATATAGGTCACTGCAGTACATGCTACGACCACTTCATTTTTTTCTAATGATTTTTACTTCATCACTGATGTTGGCAACTCTCACCAGAATAACTGCCTTTGATAAGTCGACGACTGCCAAAGTACTTCTAGTGGAGTGTTACAGTTCTTGGGATATTCCATTACATCAAACTGGAAATTTCCATTTTCGGCTACAGATATAGAAGGTAAAAATTCTGTTCTTGCTGGTGATATCGTCTTGAGCTATGATTTGCTGGAGAGATTTTCTTCATGATTAATCCCAAATTTGTTATGTCCTCAGAGGCAGAACACAGTTCGTTATTTTTAAAGTTCAAGGGAAAAATTACATTTCCATAGAAAGTTTAATCCGAATATACAGGGGGTCTGTAGTAATTGTTACATATGCAGTGTCATGGTAAGTGGCACTTCCAAACGTGATGTTTACATTTAATTTTCCATTGGTGTCGATTTTATCCCCAGATCTCCCTGGAGGGTAAGGTAGGCTGGTATCCAGATCAATTTACCTTCCAATTGTTAAGTCTCTTCGGATGATGGTAACATTGGCTTCTGTATCGATGACCATTTTGCAAGGAACTCCATTTATATGTTCCATGATGAAGAGTCCATTACTGCCACTGCAGAAATCTTAAGCGCTTTAAAATAGGGGTTCTCATTATCAGAAAACCTCCACCCAGCGTGATGGCCACTAATTAGTTTCCCTCTTTCTTGCTGGAAGCAGTCTTAACTTCCATGCTCTGAGGTGTTTTGCAGTTCCTTCGTACATGGCCTTCAGCACCAAAGTTCTAACACTTCAAGGTCGATTTGTTCTCACTCCTGTTCTGTGTCAAGGCATTGATTTGCTTGATTAAATCCTCTAGATGAGCAGGCAGATGATCCACTGACTCCTGGACTTGAGCAGCTATGACTGGGTGTCAGTCTCTGCAAGTTGCTGGCTGGGATGCCTTTAAGTTTCATGGTATAAACTAAAGTGCTTTTTAGATCTTTGATATCTCTCATTCTCAGGGCCTTCTGTAATTCTGAATTCCAGATTCCAGAGATGAAGTACTGCAGGGACAGGATTTCCTTTGTTTCTGTCAAGCATTCTGAAAAAGCTATATAAGACAGACTTTCAACGCCTGTTCGAACCAACCGGCTGGGATGACATATGTTCAAATTCAAACATGTTAGAATTGTGACCAGCTGTTATGAATTTCTTTAAACCTTTGACTTCCTTTGCGACAGCAGCAGGAATTCTGTCTTGGATTTGTTGTTTAATGACAGAAACTCTTTCTTGAAATTCTCCAACTTTATTTTCAACCATGTCTGTTCTCTAGCTTCAAATTTGTTTTTTATTATGGCAGTAATATCTCTTTTCATTTCCTCTGGACCAGCTTTCATCTCATTTTTCACCATATTTTTGTTCTGCTTTCATCTCTTCTTTAATGGAATCTCATCCTTTCATCTCTTCTTTGAAGAAGTTGCCAGCCACTTCCATCTTTTCTTGGAACGTAGATTTAATTCAATCCAATAAGTTTAAATGAAATGCAAGAAGAAATGTGTATAATTTAATATCCGTACAATGAAGTCATGTGGTGTACACATCAGATTTTTTTAATAAATTTTGATCATAAATACTTCATTATTTAATAAATCATGATTACTATAAACTGATGATCTAATACCAGAAAAAATCCCAAATCCACAGTTGCTGAAGTCCCAACGAGTCCGGATTTCAGACTTTGTACTGTATACCATTTTCAAGACTACTTCATAAAAAATTCAAAACTTTAGCAGATAAAGTTGTAGCTGGGAGAAAGGGAAGATTTTTGACTAATGTAAGTGCCCACATGTGCTCCAGCCTTCTACACTACATGAATTTTATACGCAGAACAAAGTCTGAAATTCAGACACCCGATATCTGGAATGATCTAAAATCCGGGCTGCCAGCAATCTTTTTTAGAATTTTTTTTAATGCTTTACAAATGCATATCTGATACTTTTTCAAAATAAAATATGGTGAGTTTTGACCTTTAATTTCAGTTCAGTGCTAAATAAAATATCCTCCATACCGAAGAAACAATCCTTTTTTAGCATAAATATGTATAATCAATTATTTGGCTCTGTAGCTGCATTTTTACTTGGCACACATCTCAAACTGAAACATTCTTGATTTTACATTTACAGAATAAATCATACCCCTGATGCTAACCTGGCAAAATGGTCATTTCATCACTACATGACTATCAAGACATAGTAGCTTGAGAAATGACTCACACATTGATATGTAAACAATTTTTTGAAAATTACTAATTGAATACCAAAGAGTATGGTAACCTTTTATATCAGCATTATGCTTCCCCATGATTACAGACTTTGGCTTACTGCACCGCAAAATGTTGAGTGTGTTGATGACTAGAAATTTAACAGAAATTTCTTTCCATATGCAAAAAATTGATTTTATAAATGATACTCTAAGGCCAAAAGATTATATTTAGTATTGTTTGAATTGGTGTAGGTGTATGGGATGGCAGAATTTAGGAAGGCAAAATTTTTAATAATATTTATTTAGAGAAGCACCGAGCAACAAAATTAAGGAATATTTAGAATTTAGGGAAGGTACTTGTATGCGAAATTTAGGGAAAAATTTTTTTTGAGAATATAAGGAGACACTTGGCAGCAGAATTTAGGACTCTTATTGATTCTGCCTACCATGGATAAGCATTTAAGTAGGTGTAAGAATTTATTTATTTGGGACTCAGATAAGCCTCAAGCATGTGCAGGAAATAGGTGTAAGTATAATACACAACTAAACTATTATAATTCAGGCTTAACTTCGTCAGTGAGTGACAGAAGAAATACAAAATTTAGCAGAACATGTCTTTAGTTACCAATCTCCTGATACATCGCTGATAGAATATAGTGGACACTAGCTAAGCTATAGTCATCAATCTCCTGATACATTGCTGATAGAATATAGTGGACACTAGCTAAGCTATAGTCATCAATCTCCTGATACATTGCTGATAGAATACAGTGGACACTAGTACTAGTACTACAGCCATGAATTTGAACTTTTCAGATATTGGAAGAAAAAAAAAATCCAGTTAATGGAATTTGGGAAGAAGTGGTGATTTAAAATGAAAATGATATTAACAGAAATTTTTCACTGGTATGACAATTCTCCAATTATCAATCAATCAATATATGACAAAATGTGTAGTATGGCTGTAAATGCAGAAAATACCACTATCGGTAGTGAAGAAAGTGACACAGAGGTTGTTGAGAACAAAAAAATTTTGATCTGAACAAAAAAGGAAACAATTTAAACACCTTATATTAAAAGAAATGTTTAAGAAAGCAAACAAATATTGAGCTTTATTCTTTTTTGTAAATTTTGATTACTTTAAGGTCATAAATGCTTCATTATTTCATAAATTACTATTTCATACTTTCTAACTTCTACATAACATCTTACTAGATTTAAATTGATAACCTAATATCGAGAATAGTCCCAAATCCAGAACTGCCAAAGGGACAACAAGTCTAATCTTGGGCTTTGTACCGTATGCATAACAATAACAAAAAATTAAATAACACTATTTGTAATCATGCACAATTTTTATAGGAAAATGAAATTCAGTTGATCAGAACAGACATAGAACTTACGTAGCTCCAACAGTCTTTAACTTTAGAAACTGAGGTGTAAATTGGTATCGCACAAAACGGCCAGCATTAGGATCTGTGTCTTCTTGGTCTTGATCTCTGTCATCTGTATCATCATCCTCTGAATTAAAGAATATGTTTTAATTCATGCTACACACAGGAAAAAAACTGATAATATAAAATCCTTTTCAGTTATTCAGGAAAATATTTTCTAACTATGAATAACTATGAATTAGTTAATACATAGTTGAAAATTTAAAGCTGAAATTTTTTGCATGATGAAACAGTTTTTGTGGTTCATTCTAATCCTCTGCCATAAATAAGAAAGGCAGCACTTCAAACAAAGAAGAATTAAAATTCCCCTCCCATATCCCCTTGAAATTCTTACTTTCTCCTTATTTTCATCCAGATTTCTTTCATTCATTATCTGGTTGCTTTGGAAACAAATTTAGCACTTAAAAAAACATTTAAACAAAATTTTTAAGCATGAGTTTTACTTAAAAAAATCTGAATAGTTTCAGATTTTAACATTCAGCCAAAAGGGTTTGCTAAGATTTTTTATGCTGTTGCTGAGCTTGCAGTCTACCAGTCTGCTGTTACACTCCCTCCTACTAACCCAATTTATTTTCTCTTTTAAGCTTTATTATTAAGCACAATATCCTATGTACTTATAAACACAATTCAACATCAAAATTACAAAAATTTTAAAAGCAGCATAGGAGTATATGTTTAGAGCTCCCTATTTGTCAATAAGTGTTGGCATACTTTTTTTTTTTTTTTTTTTTTTTAATTTCACAATTCATCAGCTTTCTTCCTAAGTTTCTGGTTGTACAAAACTTTTTTTTGTGTGTGTTTTTGTTTTTGTTTTTACTTATTCATTAAATATCATGTTCATCACACTCACACCACATAAAATTCAGCAGAATAGCAAAATCACAAAATTTTTAAAAGCAGCATATCTTTAGAATTTCTGCTAGACAGTTTCATGCGCTAGAGATTAAAATTATTTCATTCTGTAAAGTATTGTCACCGCTCACTTTGAAATCAGAGTTTATTATTTAAAAATTCATTAAAGTTTTACAATCAAAATTCGGGCTTCCAGATGGAAGGTTGAAGGATAAACAGTTTTTAATACCTAGGAGGCCACAGCCATAAATTCTTATTGTGTATGGTTATTTCAAGGATCCTCCTGCATTTTCATTTAGAATGCCCACTTGTGACATTTAAACGTCAAGAAGAACTTCCAAAACCAATAATTTTTGTTTATCATTTTGTTTATCAGTAAATAAATATTCCAATATGATGCTGAATTCAACTTTCAGCCTTTTAACCACTTGCGCTACAACTAAACTTTACGGTTGCGGTGCCGTGCGCTACAATATAACCAGTGGTAAAGTGTCTCATTTATGCCGCATTGCGTCTGCGAGTGTACGTACGTGTGTGTGTGATTATGGCAAAGCCTCGAGGGCCAGGGAGGGCCTAAGGAGTGGGATGCCTTCGTGGAGGACTTTCTAAGGAAAACTGGCTCGTATACATGTTACACATGGGGAAAATCACAAAAAAGCCCAAGCAGCCAGCCTGTTTGTGGGATTCGAACCAAACTACCAGCGTTCAGCGACTTTACCACTCGGCCACTGGTGGCCCAGCATCTGCGAGTGCCATCCAGAGCTGTAGCTCAAGAAATAAACAGTGTGACGTGTGCACCACATTATGTTCATCGCGCGGTTTGAGACAAAAGCATCTAAAAGTGCGTGGCACGTCTTTTTAGTGCAAGTGGTTAAGGATATTAACATAATTTGTCTTTGTATAAATGGCTTGTAGATGAATTGATATATAGACAGCTAGATAATTTACTTAATTATGCATGCATCTTACAGTAACATACAAAGCCCATTTTTCATTTACATTATTTCACTCAGATAAATTTAACAAAAAAATAAATAAATAAATAAATAAAAATCTACCTGATATTGGTTAGAAATGGCATACTATACTTTGTCCATTTTTACTTATTTAAAAAAAATGAATAAGGCAAAACAGAATATGTAGAATTAGATTTACAGAACCATTTAACAGTTGAGAATACAATGTGATAACTAACAGTGTCTTCAGATCATCAAAAGTAGTGAAAGAAGTGAAAAATATAACTCCAGTTGAAAGTTTGAATCTTTCTTGATGAACAATTTTAGATAGTTTGAAAAGTTACAAGCACATTTTTCTAGTTCGCAGAAACATATAATCATGACAGTACTGGTATCCTTTTTAGCAGTATATTATGCAAAAAGGTGTTACTGCATCAGTTTCCCAAAATTTGAGCACGGCAATAGCTGCAATGAATGAAGAACTGTATTTCAGTATGTATGCATACTGAATGTACACAACAGAGCTAAGACGGACTAGACAAAATTGTTTAACAGAGTGAAATTTTAGATGGCCTTGCTTTTCCATGCCAAAATCTTTTTTTACTTGTTTTGAGCTATACATTTTTATGAATTCTGTTAAGAAAATGCTCATTATTTTATTCAGTTTAGCGATCTTTATCAGGGAATCTAGCAAAATGTATAATGTTTTAAAACAGCAGTTCTCAAACTTTTCAAATTTTGTACCACATAAATATGAAACAAAAATATATGTACCACAATAAAAACATTTTGACATTAAAAATCGATTTAAACACAATAGATTAAAACAAAATGTTAGAAAGGGTGCAATTTTACATTCATTTAATTTTTTTTTCAGTAAAAATTGTACCACTAAAAATATTGTAATGTACCACCAGTGCTACACATATCAACAGTTTGAGAACCAGTGTTCTAGTAAAGGATAAAGTCACCTTGCTAATAACCGACTCTAAAAAGTACGTCCAGGCCCAGCAGTACCTGAATGGTTAAGATCATTTAATACTGGTGTTTCAAACTATAGGGTTATGCTATGATCACTGGATCTCACCCAGTGCAGCCAATAATGACTAAAAAAATCTGACCCTGCTGACCAAGTTCACCAAGACAGCTATTCGATCCCAGTTGCTCCTTGAGCGGTCAGGTCCATTAAACTATACTGACAAGGAACAAGGCTTCAAGGAGCTTTAGACCAATCATAGTTCAGATGAATAACGTAGTTTACAGCATGCAAAGCTGCTCAGAATATTTTTTCTTTCACAGTTTTGCTCTCATTATGCACAGTCCATTGGCCATCAGTTGCATGAAATCAGTTTTTAACCACTGCTGCTGTCTAGGAAAGAAAATATCCCCGATGTACTTGTAATGAAATTACTATCAATGAGAATGTGTTAATTACACTTACTACCATTGCATTAACTATTCATATGAAAACATTTAACAGTTTAAAAAAACATTCATTTAAAAATTTCTTTTCAGGTATAATGTATTATACCACGAGATAAGTAAAAGTTTTTTAAGTACATATTTAATGCATATGCAAAATTTTTTTTGAAGCATACACAGATGGTTTATTACGGCAAACAACATCCTGCATTGAGAAAGATGCTTAACATTTACATTATATACATGAAGAAACCCTGAAAGTATCTATACAGCTGATCTATTTTATCAAAAATAATGGCAATATTTTGGAAACAAATTCATTTGGCCAATAAAGGATTGAATTTTAAGAAAGAAAGATAATAGAGTAACAGTTAAAATAGTTACATTATTATAAAAAATAATACATTCTTTTTTCACTTTTTAGTTTAGAGATCTTGAGATTTATGGATATGTATTATTATCAGTTTTACAGGTGGTTATATATATGTTGATTTTTTAAAAATATTAACTATTTTCTCAATACTTTTCTACTGATAACAGAGCAACATGAGAATCTGCTTTCATATGACTAACGTAGTTTACAGAGTGAGAGCTTACAAAGCTGCTCACAATATTTTTTCTCCCACAGTCTTGCTTTCATTATGCACAGTCCATTGGCCCACCAGTTGTATGAAATCAATTTTTAACAACTGCTGCTGTCTAGGAAAGAAAATATCGCTGATGTACTTGTAATGTAAATTACTAACAAAAACTACTAAATGCTTTGTTGTCACAGGTAGACTGACTGGCAGGCAAAATTTATTTACTATGGGCTGCTAATATGATCCACAAGCAAAAAACCATAAGGTACAAAGTATCTAAAATTTTGGCAATTATTATTCCTTATGCGATGGTAAGTAAATTTAGCAATTATGATATAAAAATATATTAATCTGGCATCTTTTAACGCATTTATTAATGTACAGCATCCAAAATTTCCAATGAATTTAAGTCAATAATATATGTGATTAGCTTGTTACACATAAGTTACTTTAAGGAAGCTTTTTTCGTATGGCATATTGTTTCATGTTAACTTCTATAGTAAAAATTCCAGGGAATTATTACATCCCTTTGTGCACGGTGTAAGTATGAGGGCAATTCAGAAACAACCCTCGGTTTTGCTGTAAATAAAAAAACTTGCATAGATTCAACAAATTTTTTTTTTTACATCTGACTGGTACAACTGCCTTCTATTTTTCGACAGAGGTTACTATGTATATTCAAGCACTTGTCATAGCATTTTACAACTTACCAATACCTTCTGTATAAAACACAGCTGCAGGTGACTTGATCCAACTTGTCACAGTGGGGTGAAGTTTTTCATAATTACCGAGGTGCTGTGCCCCAAGCCACTTTGTCATTTCAAGGAACAGATGGTAATCAGAAGAAGCCAAGTATGGGCTATAGAAGGAATGTTGAAACACATCCAATATGAAATGGTGCAAAAGATCTTGTGTTCATTCAGCACTGTGAGGGAGAGTGTTATTTTGCAGGAGCACAGCCCCAGATGTCAGCAGGCTGCACTTTCTGTTCTGGATGGTTCATTTAAATTTTCTCAAAGTGTTACAGTCCACTTCAGAATTGATTGTCAGGCCACGATCCATGAATTCAACAAGAAAGACTCCATTAGCATCCATTAGATCCATGAATTCAACAAGAAAGACTCCATTAGCATCCATTAGATCCATGAATTCAACAAGAAAGACTCCATTAGCATTCATTAGATCCATTAGAATTCAACAAGAAAGACTCCATTAGCAAAACACAGTGACTAGACTATAACCTTCCTTGCTGATAA